GGAGCACCAAGCCACCAAGCTCGTCTCAACTGCTCACACTGTCCTCGCACTTTCAGGCACCGCATGGGCCTATTCGGCCACATGCGCATCCACGACGACCTGCGGTAGACAACCGCCGGTTACACCACACATCCACACACTCCCTACCCTCCTCCACCATCACCAACACACATCAACACTTACCCACCGCATGCACCAACTGCGACCTTCCACGCAAGTGGGAAGTGTGCATCTCGACTCGGTTCCCACGCGGCTTCGGCTGTACGGGTGATTTGAGTCCGAGACTATCCCGACACTTCAAGTGTCGTGGATAGGAAGGTTGCTGATTGACGCCCGCTCTCGGTTCACGCAGTTCGTCGCGTTGTGTGTGTGTGTGCTGTGTGGATTGGCGGACTGGTGGGCTGGGAACGGGCTGAAGCAGCACCTTCCACGGCCCTCTCACGCAAGTGAGGGACACGCCGTTCAACCCCCGTTGTGTGAAATCCTGGTGTTTGTGTGTGTATGGGGTGCCAGGTCGTGCTGTGGCGCGCGCAGTCACGGTCAGTCGACCGTGGCAGCCACCGCGCCCATCCACCACTCCAGTTTGCCGACCGGCTCGGACGGCGGCTGGGGTGTGGGAATGGGAAGGGAGAGTGAGGTCGACGACTCAGCGCACTTTTTCCTCACTATAATCAATCTGACGGGCTTGAAGCTATCACGGTGCGCTAAAAGCCGTGGCTTGGAAGGTTGCCAACTGACGGGGTACCTTGGACCTCCTCCTTAACGAGAGGCGGTCTGAGAGTCAGGCTGCAATGGCTCCTTTTTAATGTGGCCTTTATGGCACTCCCACCACAGTGTGGGATCCGAGCCAGGCGTTGGCGGCACGCCTAGGTGCGGCTCCGGCCGTGCCAGCCTCCAAATCTCTCTTGTGTTGGTTGAAATCCTGGTTATTGTTGTGTGGACCAGGGGGTGTGGTGGAACGCCAAGGTGAGGATCCGTCCGAGCCATCCACCTGCGGCCTCCCTCGTCTCCGGTCTTCTTGACTCTGTCTTGACACCGGGCTCGGGCGAGGGAGGTGGAGAGAGTGTAGGTAGATGCAGCGCAAGTCTACTGGCACTATAAACCCCTGCGCAAGTCACCGTCCCTGCTCCAACCTGCTGCGGGGCCACGGTGGACATCATCGAAATCGATGGTCGAACTGTCATATCAGCCCAGGAAACCATCGCCACATTCGCAGTTTCACGTCTTTGACAGTATAGGTCTGTACCGACTTAAAAAACACGAAATATACCGGTTTGGGCAAGTTATGCGACAGCCGAAGCCCTTCGTACTGACTGCATGAACTTTATGACTCAGGCAAATTATTCGACAAGAGTCAGAGAGCATCATCTAAGTTCTGTAACGATGCCAATTTAAATATTAAAAAAGTCAAGTTCGGCGAACGTCCGTCTTCGAATATTCATCCTCGTGGCTGTACATTAATATAAACTACGTAATGAGGTTAAAGCCGAAAAACATAAAGTGATAAGGGTTTATGAGAACCTGTAGACTGAGACAGATTAGGGGCATAACGGAGGATATTACTTCGTAACTTTTGTCTACTTTCCGGCTACTCCTAACTCGCGCACGTTCAAGTATTTAGGCTACTTAAAGTCATTCGATTTTTGCTATGTGCCAAGAAGCACCCCAGCAGGGATTTCGACAAGCTGGCTGTGCGACAAACGAGAAAAACCCATTGACATTGTCCGAGCTCCGTTTACTGACGTCGACGCAAGTTGTTTCCCCAACCTAATTTAAAATTACCGTATTAAACGAATTCTACACAAAAATCCTCAAAGAGGTACTTTTTAGCAACTGCTCTTCGCTTAGACGTGGTTCGTCACATCTGTTGGCGTTTCCTCAGCTGATCAGGCGTCAGGTCTAGTAGGTGTTATACACAATACCACTTGCGCATAAGCGTTTTCGCGATATAAATAGCGCAATTATCGCGTGACATGAGCTAACGGCAGTTGCAGTACTTTTAGTAAAATAAAACCGACCGCTACCTTCAAGATGGGTGCAAAGAGTAATGACTAACAGTGCGGTGCACGAGTCTTGCTGGTAATGCACTGCATGCCAGACAAATTCGCGCAGCCTCGCCTTACGAGTCTGCAATATGGCAGTATCGATTATTCGCAGGCCTGGTCTGTAGCTCTGAATTTGAGCGAAAATAGGAAGTTAGAGACACACATTTCTGGCTGCTCAAGGTCTCCTACATTGCGTAGTCTCTCACTGGATGGGTTTTACTGGAATAACCGACTGGGGTTTCACCTGCCGGAATTTTCTTGCGCCAGTGTATATAGGTCTGTAAGTACACAGTGACATTTTCTTTGGGGATTCTTGATATTCTTAATTTAGAATTCGACTTGCTCGGGCAGTAATTTTTTCGTAATGATGCTTCGAGTAGTGCTAAATGCAAGTAAGTCCTTTCCTAGTTTTTGCACTTTACACATCGTTAAGCTGCAAAACGGCAAGATTTCATCTTCAGGCAGTAAAACTACCTTGTAAATGCTTTCTAGAATTGACAGATTTGCGCCCTTTTAATTTTCAATTTTAATCCTAAACTCTTTCATCTTTATTTAACTGAAGTTAGATGATGACTCTAATTTTACCTGACGAATACATAGAACAACGATTTTCCTATTTCTGTGGGAGCCTGAGAATGTGGTGGCAGGCCCAGTTACAGGCTCTCAACGCGCACAGTGAGATTCCTGCCGCCCAGCACATTTTGTTTTTTTTTCGAAAATCCCGTTCAGGTGTTCTTTGTTGGTATAACCCCACAGGTAGAGAGAAGAGAAGGAAGCCTGTTCCGGGAATACGACCGCTTTATTCTTAGCATGCGACCACGGGTTACAAATCATCAGATAGGCGCCTTATTTATGTAGCCTCTCTGGGTTCTAGAACATTCCGGCCAACCGTGTGCCAGCCATTGAAAGCGTTCTAGAACATTCCTGTCCATGGCCTGTCGGTCGCGGGGTGGCCATCGCGTGCGCGAGAATCTCCGCGCGGTACAGTCTCGAATATTCGATTAGCCATTGATTGGACCGCAGGCGTGGACAAAGCCACCACACGTGCTCGGCACTGCAGTACACGCTGGTTGGCTGTCAAACTTCACGCGTGTATCATGCCACCGGCACGGTCCTTTGTTCAGCGCGTGGTTGAGTCTTCCCTTCACCTTAGCCCATGCTCTCACGCCGCTTGCCGTCGCCATAACTGTTGTGAACCAGGGGGTGTGGTGGTACGCCTAGGCGCGGGTTAATGCCGTGCTAGCCACCTGCGGACTCTTCCGCTTCCGGTCTTTTGACTTGGTACGATGCCGGACGCAGGTAGATGAAACGGAATTCTAGTATCATTGCAAGCTAACTGATGTGCAATTCATCATCCCTGCTCTCACCTTGCTATTGAGCACACGGTGAACATTGCCGAAATTGACGATCGAACTGCCGCTTAGTATTCAGTATTCCTGCAAATTAAAAATAACCGCAGACGCTTCCTTGTCCGTAGGTGTCAACTTCTCCGTCGTCAGCCACTATGACCTAAATTGAACCGCGTCGATTAATTTATGCGACACGACTGATTAGTAGGGCTGTCAGGGCCGATTACTGAAAAAGGAATAGGAATTATAAGTAGGAAGTGTGTGGGGGTCAGTATCGTTGAATGATATCCGATACTTCCTTATGTCAGTCTTCAAAGTATCTCTTGGCAAAACATAAATTTAAAAAATGCTGAAATGACCTATCTGGTCTTACGTGTGCATGTTCTGTGCAGGAAAGTTGCCGCTTTGTTGGTATTTTCTTCTAAGTGGTTTGTCAAACCTAATTGGCCCAGGAGGTTAAGCCAGAAGAAGAGGAGTAATGGATTACGTGGTATTGTATGTTGTTCATGCAAGTATTGTTTTTACTCCATCGATTTATAGGTGTATAATCTGATGTTGCTCCATCGGCTGGTGTTTTCAGATCCCCTTTGCTTCGAGCTCTATGCTAAAGAAACAATTTGAAAAGCTTCCTATCTTATTCGAAAATACATGGCAAGTCGTAAAAGTCAAAATGTAACTCAGTGCGGTGATACTGAACTCCGCATAGACTTCTGTCTATTTATCGGGAATAACAAGCTGCGCAATGTCCGTTTAGTACGTCATCATGAGCGAGTTTATGGATTCTGGAAATCCGGGACGAGGGAGGGGATAATTTGAAAAGTCGTGACTACTTTGAGTGATTTGATAAAGAGCCAGGTATTAAATTGTTTACTAACCCAATTGATCGGAGGTTCTTCGGTCTAAACCTAGAACTCTTCATCTGAGATATCAACGTTTGAAGGTGTTTATGGGGCAGAATCTTCGATCAGACCGAAGATCCTTAATAATGGAAAACAGGCGAGGGCGCATTTGCGGCTACCAAAGCAGTTCATTCACCCACTCACCCAATCGGTCATACCATAAATTGAGTCCTTATGCCGTTATGCGATCTAACAGTTTAGTAAACAGTGCCTTTGCACCTAGACAACAAAGAAGATTATCCAACTTTAAGGTTGCTCCACGGTAGCAATGTACCGACGAGGAGAACACTCGGAACTGTCAATCCAGTCAGTTCTATGTTTGTGCGACTATGAAAGCGTACGGTTGTGACTGCCAAAAGTGTGACCATTTGGTATGTTTGCCGTTCTCGGACGAAGCAACTGTTGTTTCGATTACTGTAGAGAACTGATAAAATGCTTATTAAACGGGTGCCGCTTAAAGCCTACTGAGAATCCTCTGAATTGCGATACACCCCACGTGAGTGCTAAACACATCAGTCTGCCTTCCGACCCCTACACATTGTCTGATTGGCAGATCTCGGTTCGAAGGCTGCCATGAAGAGAATTCTATTAAGAAAACCTTTCCGCCAATTGGTGTAAGTGCGGCATCGTCCCTGATTATATGCCTCATATCTTGTCAGAAGTGTATTCAGTGAGTCGTCAGGGCCAAACTGCACAGCAACTTGAAGATGGGCTGCCGCCACAGAATCGCCTACCTTTTCCTCTGTCTACTTCATATAATTACTTTAATCGCATTGACATTGACACTAGTAGTTTGCGAGAACAATTTTCTCAAGTGCAAAGTCGGTGAGTTTGTGAATCGTTTGTATCCACTTCCTTTGTTTGACGTACACTGTGATTTAATAATTTTAGTTAGGACTTCTGCTTTTATTTGAAAATTTGAACAACATGATTTTCTACTAACAGGCTTCAGGATACATCAGTGACAAGAAATGAAAGATCCAGAAATAGGAAGGGCACTGTTGGTTTAGCCTGCAAACGGACCATCCAAAGTTCATGATTTAACCAGAAATTACAAGTTTATTGAATAAAAACAACGACCATTGGTCAGTTTAGAACGCCGAATAAATAACAAGTGGATAGTTCGTGCACTCTTTCTCAGCGGGCACTCTCCTTTAAGAGCTGGCTGTTCATCGCTTTGCTGAGTCTTAAAAATCTTGGCTCAATCACCAGAAAAAATGAAACGATAAATTTCTGTTCTAGTGTGGAATCAGTTCAGTGAGACTCAATTTCCACACAGGAAGGGCATTGTTAATAGCTGCTGATAGAAGGCTAACCAGTAGCTTTGTGTATGGTTTGTTTCTTATACGAAAAACAACCCTAAGAAATGTCACAAATCCTACGGCGTGGAGTTTGGAAATGTGCTTTAACTAACAAAATCAAGGTATAACAGAACATGATGCTGGAAGCTTTTCCAAAACTAACTTCTCCACTAGCAATCTGAACGCTTCTGTCATCGAACATGTTTCCGACAATATTTGTAATTTCTTTAGGGCCATATTCTTTAAAATTACCAAAACCACTGACTTCATGCGCCGATTACAATCTCCTTTCCTTTTACATATTTTAGATTGCAAAGGTTTTCGAAAATCTTTTGAAGAATGCAAGCTAAACCTAAAAGATAACGGTACGTTGTAGTCCTTTAGGTAGATGTTATTTATCCCTATCAGACAGGTATGGCAGCGCTTAGGCACTTATGAATGTTAGTTCATTTCAGCGATAATAATAAAGGAAAAGAGATAATTTTTACTTTCATTTGGCAGACAGTATATGCAGTAACGAAATGTCGGAGACCGTAAAAATGCCAACGGTCTAATTATGAAACACATATCTCGTGAATAGCAGCGCTTAAATGGGAAGAGTATGCGAACCTTACCCTTTTAATAGCATTTGGTTAGTTACGCGGTTTGCTTTACGCCCTCATATATTCCCCAATTTAACTTGGAGAACAAGTTTGAGATCTTTAAACGTAATTCCCACTAATGGATTCTGAGACGGTCACACACAATAACGGTTCGCCTGGTTTTAAACATTTAAAACCTTTTTAAGCAATTTAATCTGATTGCGCACAGAGGCGTTTATCCCACTTGCATTCCTATTTAGCGGCTGATTTCATGCGTTAATATCCGAGGTGAAATCTAAAATCTGTACGCATGCCGCAAGTGCACTCCCGTGTGGTTTATTAGAAGTTTTTGAAAAGACAGACTGTCACTTATTTTTAATCTCAGGCTTAAATGCAAGGTAAACAGCGAAAAAGCCTACTAGACACCACAGTTAAGAAAAGATGAACCTGCTAAATGTAGAGGACCAGTCTGGACCGCTAATGCGGTGATGTTCTAAATCAAATATGTACGCAGGCGAACATTATAGACACTTTAGTAGCAGACGATATCAAATGGGTTTAGTCATGTTAATCTAAGTCATATTTGGACAAGTGCCACTCAGGATTTAACTGGTCACTTCAAGAGGGTGAATGAGGTTTTAGGCGATATTTTGGATTTGGCGGTTTCGGCTATGAGAAACTTCGGACATCGAATGATATCTCTTATAGTGATTCCAGTTTGTACTTCTACATCCACTTAAGCAGCCTATAAGTCCTTTCGCACAATTCTTGGGCACAGGCTTTTTTAGCTGTTTGTCATTTAGCAGTTCCCAAATTTTTGATAAAGGCCATTTCGAAAGATTTACTCTAAGGTCGCGCATTAAGTTCCTCGGAAATTAAACAATACAAAGGCCATTTTATAAAATTGCTATGAAAATATTGTCTTCCTAGAAAAGGCTCTTATCAGGACAGTACTAATTCTCAAGTACTCAAGTAACCTTGTGAGCTGCCGCTCGAGTTCTTTAACTTTTTATGTTGTGTTTCCAAGAGGACGCAGATTAACTACTGGTTGAGGCAAGAGAAAGGGGTCTGGGGGAACTGCTATGGCACTCACAAGCTACACTTTCAAATATATCTGATAGGTGTGACACACGCCGAATAATTAATTTATAAAAGTATTCAAAATTTTCTGTTGCCCACATTTAAGGAGACGAAAGAGAACTGAGGGCATGATCTACTAACGCTGAAAACAATCGTTCGCAAACGTGTTCGTTATGCATTTGCGAAAGGGAGATTTGAAGCATTTTGTTCCCGGTACGAAGCTGAAGTAGGCAAGAACGGCAGGATTTATTGGTACCAAAAAATTTCGCGACTGCTCTTCAGCTGCATCCTGTCGCTTCCGATTCCACGGGCAAAGGATGCCCTGCCAATGCACGCCACGTCAAATTGTGTTTATGAATTCACATGCACTTGCGGATGCGAGTACATTGGGCGAACGCAAAGGCAGTTGGCAGCCAGGTCTATTGAGCACCTGCCCAAGTGGCTCCTAAGACAAGAAAATAAGATCCCGCGTTCCTCCATTACGAAACACCTACTTGATACTGGTCACACCGTCGACCCCAAAACTTCCTTCCGAGTACTTGTTCGGGCACAAACAACTCGGACATTGCGTTACCTGGAGGCGGCCTATATAAGACGAGTGAAACCACATCTTTGTAAACAATTGGAACACATGGTTAACCTAACATTGTCATGATAGCCCCTAGCTTCATGATCCCCCCTCTATCCTCTCATTTTTTGCTCTTTAACGTTCCCCTTTTTTCACTTTCTTCTCCTACGGTGTTTGTGCTACTAACTTTATCCATTAGCCAGCTTTGCCCAAAACCCTGACCTTGCTGTTTCTGCATTGATTTCTGTACAAATTCAAATCCGTTGTATTGTTCTCACTCGTTATCTCTCTTATGAAGCGACAGGATGCAGCTGAAGAGCAGTCGCGAAATTTTTTGGTACCAAAGGGAGATTTGTAGATATCACTCAAGTATATCAGGAGGGGTTTCTAGGTTCAGCTTCAACGAAACCCCATTTCTAATAGATTTGTCCAGTTCAAGTGAAGGCAAGAGCGTTTAATTAAAATAATGATGACAAAAACAACATCTACCTCTGTGTGACACTTCAATGACCGAAGCTGATCACAGTTACGCTGTGGACCACAGCAATTCGATGCAGCACCTCTTTGCACACTAAGCTTGCCTGCGCGGTGGCGGCAGATGAGTACACGTGTCTGAATACAATTTGTACCACCGCTAACTTCGCTGCCGTGAAACCGCGGCTCTTCGCTCATGTTCAAGTTGGTAGACTCAAGTACCTAAAATAGTCATCAATTCTCTAAGGTTTTGCTTAATGCAAGACACATTTTGCACAGAATCGCTTATAGCTGGTTTACCCGGTGTTCAACCTTGAAGTAACACTGGCTGCGGAGAGCAAGGATAACTGTTTGCGAATTTGCACCAGCCATGCTTAGATCCTTTCACAGATGTGTCCCGTAATATCCACAGAGAATCACAAAAAAGTTGAAACAAATAAAAAATCTGCTGATGGTTTTATCGAAAAAACACGTCAAATGTCCCGGATTAGAAATCTGAAAATACTAAACTTAGACCCTGCATATATGACGCCCGCTATTGCACCCAGGTAACTAAAGTTTAACAGTGGTGTTACGGAATTCACCTGGAGCATGTATTTGAAGAAATAATGGAACTTGTGAAATACTTCAACATCTGATAACTGTTCTCTAGCTTTCATTGACTCGCAATCTCAGTAAATGTATAGGAGGAGAAAATACCTGTAGTTAAGTATCCTTTTCATTTTCCGTTTAAACTGTCCTAAGTTTCGCGTCTTTTGCTTGGTAAAAGTGAAATAGTTTCCATGGAACAGTTAACGAGGATGTTTCGGAGTGAGAACGGCTGTTGGTGGCAGGTGCAGATACGTTTTCCATCATTTGGAATGCTTTGATTTAAATAAGAAACGCCGCTTGAGGGTAGACCATTTGAGTGATGAAAGAAAGACGTTACTATGTCTCCCAGAGGATTGTGAAGATTCAATTCGAAGACGACTCTGACAATTTTAGCCTTAGAAGATACCACAGTAGCAGCATGGGTATTAGCTAGTACCTTTACCTCTTTCTTTATTTTAGAGGAGATTAAATAGGTTATAAAAACGATAAATAGTGGTCAGTGTACAGGCATGTAAATAAATACATATTATGATCTCCTGATTGAAAAGTCTTCGTCAGAGTGTCAAAAGTTAAAAATTTGATTGCTCCGCATTTTTCTCACGTGTTCAGCGAGTTATTTGCGAATGTGTCTTATAACAGCTGCTTGTGAACAGAATCGACGACAGAATTCAGCGATCTAGTAGCCATATTAGTGACCTGAGGGCCGTCTGCGCCAGTCACGTCTATCGTAGCACGATTCTACCCGAAATATAATGCCATGACTTGAGTAAAATTAGAGATACTGGCTGACCTTTTGCACGAAAGTCCTTCCTCGGCCGCATACTGTATTAAGCTTATATCAGTAGTTGACTGAATATCACTGTATACAGTTGATAATAGCGATATAGAAGGAAATCAATATCCGTCAAGTATACTGCATGCATTGATGCTTGCTCCAAGGAACTATCATTGTAACGAAAAACGGGTTTCTATTTAGGTTACTGCACTGTTTGAGTGCGGAAAGAAAATAACGCATACGGAAAAAATATTAATAAAGCACCGCATCCTAGTTTGCTTTGGAGCATCAAATCCGCTCCTTGCTGGCACCAACTAAAATATGATGGTGGGTCAATCGTAGTTCGTTTGGGCGGGAATTGTTTCCGGCACCTAACCTACTTGGCTTAACATCTTATTACTGAGGAACAAACATAAGTAAGCGGAGTTACCTTATGGAGCTCAGGAACCTAATTAACCACCTAGGAAATAAGACGAAAATAAGTTTTGTTCTTCCTTCATAAATCTATCCCAAGGTATATTCACTCCAGGAATAGGTAATAAACTGTGTTAAATTAGGCCAAGACATGGTAATCCCAACGCTATAAGTGACACCAACATCGTGAAATATGACAAGCTTTCTCTCCTTAACAGTATTCAGATCATATTATATTTTGTGAACGCTAGGGAAGGCCGGATACGATGAAGGGGTTGACACCGTGGAGGCATTTAAAAGATGTCAGGGACTTCCTCGCACGGGAAGTTGTCGCAACCACTAATTGCTGAGATAAAACGTGACAATCTACCACATTATTGGTGGGCATGCACTTTACTAGCTGAATTCTGAAACAAGTGCCTCAGTGCACATCGTGATCCCCAGATGCGCACTTTAAAGATAAAATACATGTAGTACGCTTAGAGAAAAGATTAACGCTGACAGCATGAGACTCCAGAATTTGAACCATTATTACATATACACACGGAAGTCGAGTGGAGAGGAAAAAACGGTTTGGAATAGGCGAAGCACGGGTGAGTTCTTCCAAATGCCGGCTTTTTCTAATAAGTCAAAGAAAAGAACATGGAAAGATACTCCGGTTTTCAACAACATAGCACCTTTTAAAATGTAAAGGGCTGAAATGTGCGACAAGTACCAAGTCCATTGAAGAGGACATTCTGACTACATCAAGATGGCAATGGATCGTCCGACAAACGGTATTATCATGCTGTCTGGTTTCAAAATACATACGCACACAGAAATTTGACAGTGAATGCGTTAAAAATCTCGCTCATGAATACAGTCCGTCATGCTTTGTTCGGTTTTGGTTTTTAAGGTAGAAAGATTTCATCAGTCAATACCTTGTTCCTGATCATATAATGACAGTTATTCTTTACATGCTCACTGTTGCATTACCTGAAAAAAAGATATGAGGATTTGATAAAATTGTATGTTAACGAGAGGAGACAAACAAACCAATTCCTTTTGATCCAGATAATGTTGTACGAAAACGGTGCATTAGCATAGAAATTCGAAAATTTTGACAAAATACAAATTCAATGTCTTCTTCATTAAATGCTTAATTTTGGAAGTAATTCGGCGTGAGCTATTTCCCGCGCTCAATTTAGAACACCAGACAATCGGCTAGGTCCATGAATAATTCAGTTATCCTAACCAGTATGCCAGGGAAAAGTCTATTTCAGCGGAATGTTGGAATAAGAACACCCCGTGGCACAGGCACCTAATACGAGTCCGAAAATATGCTATATTTGACCTGCCACTAGGACAATGCCCTAATTTATCATAAAAAAGATCCTTGCTGTTTTCAGAGTAAATCAGTTGTACGTCAGTTTTGTTTTTGTTTTAACGGAAGTTACCAGTTTTCTTTTCCGTTAGTACGACAACGTTTAGTCAATAAAAGCGCTTGGCATTAGTCGACTGTAACTTTTAACCCCCATTCCTCTGTCTCTGCTATCCCTAAACTTTGAATATAACTCCAGGTTTTTCACGTTCCATAGTTTTACTTAGCGGGATAGAATGAGGGCTTAAATGTCCTCCATGCAAACTGACTTTTAAATACAAACATAAAAACAAAATAATGAAACAAATTATGAGCACTTGCTTCTAATCTTTCTTTGAAGAGGCAAGCGAACTTGAGAATAGCTCAAAATGTAGTGAATATCCACCGCCTAATACCGCATGTCTTCGCGCTTTGAATAGGCAAGATTTGTTCACCACCGTTTGGGTTATATTTTCCACTGCAGATCAAATTAAAATTTCATTCCATTTGCCTAGTTGTCTTCTTAGTCCAGATAAAAAACAATTTGTTTAAAAACGTGATTGACCTACACTATATTTTATAAGCAGTTCGATAAAGAACTGAAATTTGGTTTTAATTTACTTTGATTTTACTGCAACACGTTATCTATAAGGTAACATTTTTTCGTTTCACACAATAAAGGTGACATTGAAGCACTCCATCTTGCGCGCGGTGCTTTGCGTTTTATGCAAAGAAATCTGTGGGTTCTTATTTCTGTATGACTTCAAACAGATGAGGCCTTCTAAATCTTTGTGCAGAAAGATGAGTTTTTCATCCTTACTGCTGACGAGAAGACATAACGCCATGTAATTTTATCAGCAGTTGTTCCTTCTAGATAAAATATCAGCTTCTTTTAAATAAATCAACAATTGCTCATGTCTCCTGCTTCGTTTCCAGACATGTCGAGTAGTCACGTCCGGAACATTTGAAGC